GATATAAACCATATATAGAGATTGCGGAACTGGGAGAACGATATTAAGTTCCTCCAGATTTATGGCAAAGTCTCACGAAGAGGAAAGAAGGAAAGCTATCGTTTTCCCAACGGAAGTTCGTTGACCACGTTCGATTTTGCCGGAAAGATCGAAAGATTGAAACTTGAAACGATCACGTGACCCGAATCTTTTGCGCCACGATAGCGTCGAATATATATTATATAGTATATATATGAATGTCTGTCTCCTCTCTAAATATTCCAAAAATTTCTCAAGTAGCTGCTATCTTTAGCCATTTCCGTAACGACATGCGAATAAATTACGACATTAATTTAGCAATGAATAATCGGGCGCGACTATTAAAGAACTAGCGAGAATATAATATAAATGATAAAATGCTTTTACGTCAGCATGAAATATAAAAGTCCATGACGTAGCGCGAAAAGTGTGTTCGAGGGAATACATTTTAATATTTGTTTTATAAGTAGTCGTTTTGCATACCAAGTCTTTTCGAGACTTTCGAAAAACCGTAGCTCGGTGCTCTAACGTTGCACAATTGCGTGAAATTAAAAAAAGTGTGCGAATCGCTCACTGTCCACTGATCTCTACATAACTGGATACGGCATAGAAAAAAAGAATGTGATCAATTGAAAGTTGGGTTGTTGGTTCGTGTTACTTTATTGACAATTATTTTAAAATTTGATCATATGTATAAGCGATAAATTTTCTCAGTAAACTATGGTAAAAAATATTGATATTATTAATAATGAAAATATTTATAATGTCAAAATAAACGCATTTGTAGACAGAGCCAACAACTGTCAAAAATAGTCACACACTTTTTCTTCCATGCCAAAACCTGAAAATATTAATAATATATTAATAATGAAAATATCTATAATGTCAAAATAAACGCATTTGTAGACAGAGCCAACAACTGTCAAAAATAGTCACACACTTTTTCTTCCATGCCAAAACCTGAAAATATTAATAATATATTAATAATGAAAATATTTATAATGTCAAAATAAACGCATTTGTAGACAGAACCCACAACTGTCAAAAATAGTCACACATTTTTCTTCTACGCCATATCTAGTTATACAATACAAAGAGATCAGTGCTCATGTCCGATCGTCCGGCAACTCTGCGATTGTATAATTTAGCGAGAAATCAAAAGCCCTTAATATCTCTATGGTGACCAGTCCCCGAGGCGCTATTGCATAAATAAGAGATACGCGGCGAAGTTAATTATTCGTTCGCCGAGTATAGAAAGGATCCGTTCCAGGATCCAGAGCCGAGTGGACTTTACATACAGACGATCGATTTGAGCGACGATGATAAATACGAGATTAATTATTGAAAACGAGATTAAACGCGAGATTATTGAAGATTAATTTAATAATCGCGCGATTCATTAAAGAACTAGAAGGGTAATATAAATGATAAAATGCTTTCACGCGTCATTTATATTTTATAACGTAGCGCGAAACACGATGTAAAATTAAACTAATGAAGATTCGAAAAGTTTGTGATTTTTTTTATATAGGAAATTCTTAGTAATAACCCTTTAATGATTTACCACCCTATTATTTGCTCAACTTTTTCCACGATAAACTAAAAGCTTTGGGAATAAAAAATGAATGGTGTTCTGCGCGCGATAAAAAAAGATATTTGATATATAAATAGAAGTAACATATTTTATTTTCGGAGATTAATCTATATAATTATTTACCACATTATTTTATCTGACTAAATACTATTATTTTTTGTCACGAGCTAAAGGTAAAAATGTTGAAACCATTGTAGAGAAACTCCTTGAGGAATGCGCTTTTAAACGCACCCTTTAACATTATCGTCTCCAAGACTCATCGGCGATTACGTTCTCGTTATCACAAGAATATTGCTTTCTAACGAGCGCCTTTTTAAACTGCCTAGTCACTTTGGTCGATCGATTAAAATAGCAATTACCATATTTGCAGTTACGAGCTGCCTCGCAATGCATCCATTGCGAAGCAATTGACCGCGATGCTGCGATGATTCCTAGCAGTTTACGATGTTCAACTTTACTTGATATCACTGACTGTAATGCTGGCATTATCTTTTTCCACCGACCGATTTGCATAATAACGCTCCTACACGTTATGACTTATGCTGCGATTTTACGGCCGGAATATCAAAATTAATATCCCAAAGTACTCGTATCGGTTCTGCGAGCGACAAAAATTATTGCCTACATCTATATATATACACACATATATATATATATATATATATATATATATATATATATATACACATATTTATTTTCTCTAGATCTGGAAGATGTGCTGGGAGTGTAAAAAAAATTTTATCTCGTCGTCTACAATTCAAAGGTCATCGTAAATCTTACGTGTTGCAGCAGCGAACGTGATCCCTCAACCGTAATGTTTACGCTAGTTAATTAGTCATTTTAATATTTTATCGTGTATATATTTTATCACGGAGCAAGGATACATATATATACACAGTTGACAAATTTCTGTTTTAACAGATATCACAAACGATCCACAGAAATGTTTGTGTTAATTTAACATAATATGGACATGTTAAATGGAAGGCACAAATACTGTGTTAATATTTTAATACAAAATAAATGCAAAATTTCAAGTAATTTAAAATAAATTTTGTGTAAAATTAACATAGTTTTCATGTAAAAAGAATTAACTGAAAATATGTTAATTTTAGATTTTATCATCCCTATACTTATAAAATAAAAAATCAACAATTTCTTCTGTAAATTTTAATAGATAAATCTTGTCACTAAAACTTTCACATCTTTTTTCAGTTGTTTTAATAATTTAACATTTAAGTTAAATTAACACAACAGCAATATGTCAAATTAACACATAAATGTGCTAAATATTTAACACAAAAAGTTTAACAGCGACCGTATTTAGCAAGAAAACACACATTTTCCTACTGTGTACATCCGAGAAAATAAGATACGGTCAAAGAGCGATTTAATTAGCGTCTTCGTGTATATGCAAAACTTCAAGTAATTTAAACTAAATTTTGTATAAAATTACCATAGTTTTCATGTAAAAAGAATTAACTGAAAATATGTTAATTTCAGATTTTATCATCTCTACTTATAAAATAAAAAATCAACAATTTTTTCTGTAAATTTTAATAGATAAATCTTGTCACTAAAACTTTCACATCTTTTTTCAGTTGTTATGTAATAATTTAACATTTAAGTTCAATTAACACAAGAGCAATATGTCAAATTAACACATAAATGTGCTAAATATTTAACAGAAAAATTTTAACGGGGACCGTTTTGAACAAGAAAACAAATTTTCCTATTATGTACATCCGAGATAATAAGACACGGTTAAAAGAGCGATTTAATTAGCATCTTCGTGTATATAATATCGAGATGAGCCTGCTACCGCCCACGTATTTTCCCGCGTATACGCGGCACGGATCATTCGGATAATTGAAGGAGAAAGAAGTGCACACTGTATTTTGTCAAATAATTGGCTGTTATCTCGGCAACGTTATTATATAAGCGCGCAGGCAGGGGCGCTACTTTGTTATTCGAGCGCGCGCGCACAATTCGTGTTCATGCAGACTCCATAAATCGCTACAGTGTAATATCGATGCAGATACAAGCTATATAATTCCGTCGTTTTACATATTGATCAATTTCGCCGTGATATAGGTGCGGCGTGAGATACGCGACGTATGGAGATTTCAGATTCACCGAGCACGCTAATATATATCCTCCTCGCGCGAAATGCCGAGCACATCTTCGATAAGTTTATCGTCGACGCCGGCGTTTGATGGAATAACTGATCAGAGTTGCCATTTCCCTTGACGTCGGCCCGGAATTTCCGGAATTCGGGGCGAATCTTTCGGGAAATATCCGTATTCTGAACGTGAAAAATATCTCTACGTGTCGTCGAACGCGTTACTTGTGTAAGGAAAAAAAAGAACATATGTTCGATAACGAAAAGAAACCTTTGATGTGAGCATGATTGATCAACAACACGCCTCTCTAAAGGAAGATGTGTACATGTATTTACACGAGCAAACGAACAACGATCGAATGAATACGGCAAACGCGTAAAACTAAATTCATTTGAAACTTTCTTTAACGTACACCACTTTAGGAACAAATTGAACGTTAACGAACATTCCGTTTGCATTTCATTACAGCGTAAACATCTTCGAAACTTTAACGAAAATTTGCATTCGTTGTGTTTGTTGTTATCAGTGTATATACTTATTACTTTTAATTAAGGAAAAGATCCTTCTTTATACAACAAAATTTAACATCAATTATGAACAGATGTAATATTTTAAAAAAGAGTAAACTGTAACGTTTTCTCCTCTTTTTTTCTTTTTTTTTTTTGTAGAACAATCTCTGGTCGAAGCTCGGTTGAGCTTCGGTAACCAAATTGACGAAGAAATTATCTTTTTTCTTTCACGTTTCACTTATTATTCTTCGTCCGAAAGAATACTCGTTCTATTTGGAAAAAAAATATTTTCCTTATCTCTTGACATGTACGAACGATCATGTGGTTTAAATATTTTACAGTTTCTATTACATCGCTCTTTTATATTTTACAGATCATTTTTGATATTTGTATCATATTATTGGAATTCTTTATCATTAATATAAAATATTTCATACATTAATACACACGGGCATACACTTTTAAATTTAAAAATTTTAAGTACTTTTATGTACATCATTTTATTTTTATTTTAAATTCTTCTCTTTTTACTTTTTCACATTTTTTCCTCTTTACGCTTAAGCTCAGCTTTTATCTCATTTCAATATATTTAATTTAGTTATTACATTCTTTGTAATTATTTTTCGCGATTTTGGCCTATATTCTTTTATTAGCGTACTTTTATGAGTTGCTCGGAAAAGAGAAGAGAAAGGATATTATTCTAGAAAATATGAAGAGGCCACTTATTAATTATGAAATCAATCTTTTCTGTTTCAGCGTCAGGAGCGTTATGCACAGATATCTAGAGAAGAATAACGAAGTAAACTTCGACAAAATATTTAATCAAATGTTAGGTGAGTGAGCTTGTTACGTCGATATTTCATATTTTTTTATTCGACATTCGCGACTTTCGCTTTTTTAACGAGATCAAAGGCAAAGGGATGCTTAGATTTAGATCACAAATTTGCCGAGTTAATAGTTTGTTGAGTTAATAGTCTGTAACGAGGAGAAACTTGCTCCTAATAAGCATTTCTATCGACGATATAGCTTCGAAGCTTGTATATAATACTACTTTAGATATTGGCATATTCTCTTCGATTGACACAACTATGCGAGAATAGCTTGCACTATTGACAGATAATTATAGTCGTAATTACATTATATCGTACACAGAACAATTCTCTTTCATCTATTTCGCGTTACAGTGAATTTCAAAGATGCTTGGTATAAGAGTAAATATTTAGCGAATAAAAATGTGTCCGCGTAAAAAATTTAACAAAGATATCTCTCGGTAATTGACAGTCTCGTTTTGATCGAGTGTTTACTATTTGCGAAGCATTATTTTCATGTATCTTCGTTCGAGTAAATCGAATCAACTTTTTATCTCAATCGCGAAATATAATCCCGAATGATTCAATATAGCGTATGCGATTTTTCCCCCATCGCGAACAGAGTGAAATATATATGAATTGATCGCTGTCCTGAGATGACCTGGAAAAATCTGTTCTCTCTTTACGGCAGAACCGCGTCGATTTTACAGCGGATTTTTATTTTATATATAGCCTCTATCGTGAATTATGATTTAACTTTTTTTTTAATTAACGTCAATGTAGTGAGTTGTGACAATATTGTAATATTCGCTGATGTCAAGCAAACTCCACATGTACTTCCAGGTTACCTTTTATTCAAAGACTTCTGCGAGACTGTAGCGGAGGAACCGATTCCGCAACTTAGGTTTTACGAAGAGGTTCGTGTCTTTAGCCCGCACATTACTTAATTAAGTTTCAGTAGCGTCGCATACATACATCGTATGTCGCTGAGACAAAACTGGATAAAGGAATTACTTATTTATGCATTGTAGATCAAAGCGTACGAGAAGCTCGAATGTCCGGAAGACAGGAGAAAACTTGCCAGAGAGATCTATGACAATTACATTATGAAAGAGTTGTTGGCGCATTCTCACGTGAGTATATATATATATATATATATATATATATATATATATATATATATATGTATGTATATATAAAACGCGAATGTATTATACTCTGAAACATCTGTGTGTTTCCTCTCTGGAGGCCGGAGAAAAATTTTCTCGGAGATTTTGATACATAACGGAATGCATCTATATATTTCTTGTAGGAATATTCGCAAGAAGCGGTAACTCACGTACACAAGTATCTCATGAAGAACGAAGTCCCAGTTAACTTGTTCGAGGTAGGTCATTGTCTCGCAGCCTTATCTACGCGATTGCGCGTACGTATCGATATTTACATGACTCTCACGAAATCCCTTCTATATTTGTAGCCGTACATCGAGGAGATTTTCAACCTTCTGCGAGGGGAACCGTTTCAGAAATTTCTAGAAAGGTACGAGGATAACATAATTCGTGCTGCGATTTCTTAATGACATAAATTGTACGTCATTTTTTTATAGCGATAAATACACTCGTTTCTGCCAGTGGAAGAACTTGGAATTGAATATCCAGGTATATTTTTCGAATTTCTTTCCCCAAGATCAAATTCTTTACGTCGAATTATAATATATTTGTTTGATGGAAATTTCAGCTGACGATGAACGACTTCAGCGTGCATCGAATAATAGGCAGAGGCGGCTTCGGCGAAGTATACGGTTGCCGGAAAGCGGATACCGGCAAGATGTACGCCATGAAATGCCTGGACAAAAAGCGCATTAAGATGAAACAGGGTGAAACGTTAGCTCTTAACGAGAGGATAATGCTCTCGCTAGTCAGCACCGGAGTGAGTGTTTTATTTTATTTTATTTTATTCATTTTCTTCTTGTCGGAATGAAAATACCTTTCCGATGAATCGTAAGCGATAACAGCGAGACGTAAAATATGTTGTCGCTGCAGGTAGACTGCCCATTCATAGTGTGCATGACGTACGCCTTTCATACGGCTGACAAGCTATGCTTCATCCTGGACCTGATGAACGGCGGCGATTTGCATTACCACTTAAGTCAACACGGTGTCTTCAACGAGCCAGAAATGAAGTTCTACGCCGCGGAGGTGATCCTCGGTTTAGAACACATGCACCGCAGGTACATCGTCTACCGTGATCTGAAGCCGGCGAATATACTGCTGGACGAACACGGTCATGTCAGGATATCGGATCTGGGACTGGCATGCGATTTCTCGAAGAAGAAACCGCACGCGAGCGTGTACGTATATAATACTGTGCTGAAGCACGATTAAACTTTTCGACACATTGCTCTAAATCTCTCTCTTTTGTCTTGCAACAGTGGCACGCACGGATATATGGCGCCGGAGGTACTTTCGAAGGGCACCGCGTACGATTCGAGTGCGGATTGGTTCTCTTTTGGCTGTATGCTGTACAAGCTCTTGAAGGGCCACAGTCCGTTTAGGCAACACAAAACCAAGGACAAACACGAGATAGACCGTATGACCATGACCATGGTGAGTTGCGCTGTAAAAAAAATTATATGAGATTTTTTTATGAAAAAATCACATACGATTTTTCATTTGCAATGAAAATTAATACATATATTCTTTTTTGATCGGTTGCAGAACGTTGAATTACCGGAGACGTTTTCGCAAGAGTTACGGTCGCTGTTGGAAGGCTTGCTAAAACGAGATATCAACGACAGACTTGGCTGTCGCGGCAACGGCACGGAAGAGTTGAAGGCGCACTCGTTTTTCAGTGGTATCGATTGGCAGCAGGTGTACCTGCAAAAGTATACACCGCCCTTAATACCGCCGCGCGGCGAAGTTAACGCCGCAGATGCCTTTGACATCGGTTCCTTCGACGAGGAAGACACCAAGGGAATCAAACTGACGGAAGCGGATCAAGATCTGTACAAAAACTTTCCTCTAGTCATCTCCGAAAGATGGCAGGCTGAAGTAGCCGAGACTGTGTTCGAGACAATCAATAACGAAGCGGATAAGGTAAACGGGACTCATCTTAATTACTCGTATCTTTTCATCATTGTTGTTTGCTAACTTATTGCGTTTTATTCTTCTCGTAGTTGGAAAATAAAAAGAAGGCAAAGCAAAAGCAACGATTTGATACAGACGAGAAAGGTAACTGCGTTGTATATCGGTATTTTGAAATTTAGATGGAATTGCAGCTAATATATTGTCGATTATTCGTATTTACAGGTTCGGACTGTATATTACACGGTTATATAAAAAAATTAGGAGGTCCATTCGCGAGCGCGTGGCAAACGCGTTACGCGAAACTTTATCCAAATCGATTAGAGTTACATCCAGAATCTGCGACTAAACCCGAGCTCGTGTTTCTCGATCAGGTAAGCGTGTAACAAAGAATAGAAATATAAGAAAGGCAATAATATAAAAGCAAAAATAAAAGGATTTGCCAAAATAAAATGTAGATATAGCAATTTACTTAATAATTGATAATTAAATTAATAAATTATTTATTATATAAAATAAAATTATTAAATTAATAATGTAGTTTTGTACATTTCACGTTTTGTTTCATTTGCGAGAAAGTGGTTTACATTGTGTGTACATTATGCAATGCCTTTCAGGTCGAGGAAGTCGGAGCGGATTTGCAGCTTGTAAAAGGGGAACAGTGCATCGTAATGCGGACAAGGGATGCAAAAATCGTACTTACAAATGCCGTAAGTAGATTTATTTTCAACATTTTTATTTTTTTCAGTAACAAAATACAAATTAGATCTCAAAAAATTTATATAATTGTTCAAACACAATTTAAAAAGAAAATGTTTCAATTTAAAGTTTGAATATTGAGTACGAATAGTTTTTTGGTAGAAGGCATCGAATAAGGCCGAATGTATTGTTTTAAAAAATCGAGAAATTTAAGAAGATCATTTTTTATATTGTACGACAACATTTATATTGTGCAACAAAAAAGAAAAAATAATTAACTCGCCGTAGGATGAGATAAGCTTGAAGGAATGGGCGCTCTCGTTAAGATCGGCTCACAAATGCTCAATGGAGATGCTCGGCAACATGGCGAGGAAAGCAGGTAAGATCTACGGGACTGAGCGGGACGCCGTGATCCCGGCGACGCAGCGATCCACAAACGGCAACTAGCCCATCGTCGCCGTCACGTGCAACGCACCAACATACTCCAGTCCCACTGCCCTGCAGCAGCGACAGCAGCAACTTTTTTTATACTGAACGAACGATGAAGAGAGTGACGATGAACGAAGAAAGAGATTCAAGGCTCGTTTCTTCGTGGAATGGTGTCGGCGGCAAAACGCACTCGTACAGTGCCTCGTCCACCGAAAGCTCGCTCTCAATTTTTCGCTGCGGCATTAATAATAATAATAATTAATAATAATAATAAATAATAATAATAATAATAATAAATATAATAATAATAAATAATAATAATAATAAACGGATAAAAATCCCTCTCTTGGCACATCTCGATCACAAACGGAACGTCCCAAAAAATCCCGTTATACGGCGGATAGCGCTGCGCTGTGTATCATAGAGACTCTAGCAAAGTAGTATCGTATCGTGCGTACGTTCTCCCAGGGCCACGAGAATAATCCGTGCCCATACACAACATGTACACACATGGACAGACACGAACGCGTATCCACACATAATACAAACATACGAGTATATAACACTTGATCGCGGCTCCTCGTCACTGGCGCGGACACGTAGGCATCTCGTTATATTTGTACATTAGTTGTATGTGCAATATGTGACGTAGCGACCGACCGAGCGATGAACAAAAATTAACAAACAACACACGAAACACATCCGGTAGTGTATTATAATCTAGTACTCTATACGCGGATCCCGTGCTCTTATTATCTTTTTTTTCACGTTTCGTCGTACCGCTCGTTTACTTAATTTATTTAATAATATTGAGAGAAAGAGAGAGAAAGAGAGCGATACCAGTTTTATATATTATCCTTACGATGAAACAAAAGTGATCCATTATTTATTATGTTGTTAAGTGCGAGAGAATGAAAGAGAGAGAGAAAGAAACAAGAAAACTCGTTTGTATATTAGCCAAAAGAATCGAATACCGAATATACAAGCAACATGTGTACGCTCGAGTGGATATACGCGAGTCCGCTCTGGCAATAAAATGTGCGATGAACGTAGATGAGAAGAGCTTTCTTTCGTCCTACATCTTGTGTCAGTAGATCAACGCTAAAGGCGCGAGTAAGTATTTGTGATCTCCATTACATTATGTTTCAACGGATCGTAATCTTTACGTAATCTTATCGAATGGTGTACGAAATTAAATGTTCGATCTAGCAGAGTTATACGAAAAAGAATTACATATCAATGTCACACGAATGAATTGATTCATGGTCCATTTTTTATATAACGTAACAATCGAAATTTAGATTTTATGGAAGACCAATATTTCTTATTTCGATTAAATCGCGTGTATTAGTTATATACAACTAAGTAATAATTCGTATATCTTCTCTGTAGTTTTTATTCGTAATTTATGAATGAATTGATTACTCATCATTTGTACGTTTTTGCTTTAAATATCCAACTATTGAACATTTACTGTGCAATTCGTCGAAATATATATATATATATATATATATATATATATATATATATATACATATATACATATAGAAATCGTTTGTAGAATCATGAAAAAGGTTTTATTTTTTAGGCTTACGTTAAATAATTATAACATTAAATTTCATCGTAAGATTTACGATACGAACATTATAACATTAGCGATCACTGTGATAAAAAAAAACATGTATAATAAGAGAAACACACGTCATATATTTTATCTGTCACGAATCTCCTTCAATAACAATGTCAACGTAGTATCCACCGATTCGGCTGACTTGAGTCTTCGTTCCAGAGCTTCGAAGTCTGCCTTTTCGAGCCAGGCTGGTGGATCGCTTGTTCTCGACGGCAGAGGACAGAGCAGCCTCTCGACAGCGGCGCACAAACCGCACCACTCCCTAAAGTCCAACGAGTCTGTTATCTCTCCTATCACAGACCTAAGATAGGATCGCTGCTCGTCCGTCAACGCCTTCCCGATCACTTCTTGAAGAGCTTCCTCGACGCTGCTCGACGAAATGCGTCGCACGCTGTGCAACGCCTCCTCGTTAAATCTGTTAAATATTCGACCGAATATCAGTTTCCTCCCCGACGTGACGTGCACGTGCTTACTGAGGTATCGAAGCGGCGTTAATCCTGCAACCATCATATCGTTACGATGTGATGAATAATTCCGATGAAATAATACAGGTAAAAATACACGAATATAAATATTGATTACATGTTATTTCTAAAGTATATAGAAAATCAAAGAAACTTGAGTTACTATGTGAGGAATACTTGTACAAGATTTATTACGTAATATTATTTGATATTCAGCCTTTCCAATATATCGACAATATATTAATGAATGATATCAGTTGTAAGACATACCACAAAGACTTTGACTGTCGAGTAATTCGAATCGCACTGCTTGACGAGTAAATACTCTGGGAGCGTTTTGCATCAACAGGCTGGAACTAGTTTGACGAGATCCACGTAGAGTTGAGTAAGCATCGCCTTTTACCCGCAACGCTTCTTCTAACGCGATTCGTCTCTAAAATAACTCAATTGATTAGTATTTAAAGAAAAAAATATTTAGAGATCTCGGTATATTTACCTTAATTGAGAATTCCGCCTCCACCTTGTCGCGATCTAACTCTCGACATAGGTGCTTCAGAATATCAGGTGAGAGAAAACTTGGAGGCATCGTGTGACTCATTGTTTGTACGGGCGTCTTCTTAGAAGATGTCGAGTCGTCAACATTCTCGACATCAACGTGAACCCTGTTACATGGGTTTTTTTCATTGAGAAATTGTTCACAGTTCAATATTCTCTCTCTTGTCGCGCGTTGTATGTAAATATATAAAAATATATTGTACGCAATAACATATTTTTGTAAATACTAACGATGGCCTCCGGGATCCTTCTTCGACCTGCGAGACTTGCGTTACCGTGGGCTCGAGCGGATCGCGGACTTCCGTTTGTTGGCCGTAAGTCGAGCCCCTCCTACACTTTCTTTTACGTAATCGCTTTCCCCGTCTTCGAATAATCACCGGTTGCTCGCTGCCGCTATCGGCTTCTTCCTCCACATTCTTGGACGAGCTCTTTCACCCGTGTATAAGCAGCGGTAACATTATTGTTCCGATGACGTGAAATCTCAAAATGCGTGAGAGGAAGTAGGGCATACGCTCCTATAGATAAAGAATCCTATACTTACCGTTTCACATCTTTCAGTGATGGGCGAGGGAGGTGACGGAGGAGGCGGTGCTGGTGCCGTTGCTATTTGTTGCGATCTCGAGACCGGCTTGCAGACAAATATCTCGCTTTTCCGAGGCATCGGCGGTAGCTCGAGCGTAAGAGCGTGCCAGCTAAAGGTTTCATTTTCCTAAAATCCGAACGAATTTGCTTAGAGGACGATCATCTCGAATAAAGGAACAATCTAATCTGTCAAAATATTTCTTCAAAATTTCAATGATGTGTGTATTTTATTTTATTTTTATTTTAGCTCTTATAAGTAATTTATTTATTATTTTAGATCACGGAAATTTTTTATACCATTGTTCTATTTGTTACCAAATAGTATTAAAATATTTAGTAAATTATTATTATCGATTGCTAATAATATTTCTTTACTCGAGGGAAAAGGAAATTTATTTAAGAAGATGAAAAGCATAACTTGGGCGAAGGCAATGCATCTAATACCGACCACCTGCTGGGTCTGAGAGTTGGTTCGAAGATCCAAGACCAGGGTGGTGCGCTCGCGCGGATTACAGGTCACCGGTAGGTCCTCCTGGATCGCGTGGCTGGTTAATGCGGTCGGACCGCTGGCGAGCGTGGGCGCCGGGGTCAAAGGTCGCGAATCGGTTTCCGTGTATTTCCGGAAGAGCTCCTCGGGCACCGCCGAAGCGGTCATCTCGGCGTTGTAACCATCACCGCCGTCACCTCCGACATTTCCAGCCACCACTTCGCCTCTGCACCCGCCCGCGCCCACCGCCAACAGACTCGTCCGTATCATCTCCATCTCCTCCGGCAGCAAAATAGCTTTTCCCTCGGTAGCCTGATATTGTGAAATGAAAGAAAGAAAAATAGAAACGAGATAACATGACGATAAACGAATACGTGAATTCTTCGAGGAGAGAAGGTAATAAATTGCGTTCAAACTTCTAGACTCGACAAACTGTTGCTTAATACAGTTCTGTCTATCACACATCCAATTGTCACTATATTGCAGTATAAAATATAGATGAGGTATATTGGAGTTTCATATCACTCTAATGGGATTTCGTAATACTGTCTTCTCTCTCTCGCGACGGAGGATGAATTCTTTACCCATGTGTCCTTAGCACGTCGAACCACCTCCTTCGCCTCGCAATCCGCTGGATGATTGCACAGCACCGAGCAACCATAAGGATAAGGATTAAAGAGGCCGGCAAACGGTCGAAGGACGAATGGTGCCGCTTTGGTGCAGCCCGATAATTCCACGTTCTACGTACATGTGAATCTCGTAATAAATAACGAAGGGTTCACATATAAAGTAACGCACGTTAGCATATTTTTGTTTCTTTTTACCTTGGGCTTCGGTCTGCGAATCGGTCGAATTCGCGCGGAGAGGAGACCGGTTGCGCTCGCGATCCCGGGCATTTCGATTAGGATAATAGATCGCTCTTTAAAAACCGACGTGTAAAACACCCTGTTACAGTCGTACGAATACTGTAGCGCAATGTGCGCTGAATAAATCGCGTTCCGTCTGTTCGTTACCTTGAGACTGCATCGGAATACGTTGCTACGCGCGTCTGATGGGTCGATCAGGGAAGCTCGCATCCGTAGTTACGCTATCACATACGCTTTTCCTACGATTTGTATGTGCGATCAAAGCTTATACATTGTCTTACTCCGAAATGTCTTCCCCAAAGAAAACGTCAACGTGTCCATATAATTACGTTAAATTGAAGCAAACATGTTTAACGATTGTAACATTGCGCAATATGGTTGGAGTATAAAAATTGTAGTAATAGTCGCTTTTATAAAAATTACGAAGACAATAGATTAAGTTAAACACCTTGCACACATTGTTTTTAACAAATTTATTGCCTGATGGCACTTTTGCGATTGTAATTATTTTTGGTATCTGACAAATAGATTATTTAGATCTTCAGCTGCTCGTTCAACCACGGATCCTCTTGCTTGTGTCCGGGATATTTCTTTCTATATTTGAGACCAGTCACAAGGGTGGAACTTTTGGGGAAGGCCGTTAGACCGTTGAATAATGTATCGGTATCTGTCAGAAAAATATTGTCACTAGGTATTTGTATGTCACAAAGTAGTGCAACAATTCTATAAATTCTAGAGGACGTCTCACCTGGATGGAATCGATGATACTCCTGCTGAATGTGCAAGTTCTTGGGCAATTCTATCCTACTGAGGGCTTCGTAGGGCGTTTTAACGTCCACCGGTGTCGTATAAAATTGTTTTAAGTCCTCTATATGCCACATTTATATTTATTTATTTTTTATCATAGTTATCATTAATCAATTAATTAAAAAAAAAAAAATTTTAATTACCGATAGTCTCGATTGTGTGAAGCAACGAATTTGGGATGGAATGCTTGAATTCCTCCTCGCAGGCGACAAATAGTTTGAAACGAAGAACAAGGTCTTCCAGTTTTGTGTCACTCTGCATGGAAATTGCTTGAGTCTCGCAAATTTTGTCAATCTTCTCAATTACATCTTCGGATGGTTCATAAGCATTTTGCGGCCTCAAAAATCTAGAAAAATGATATATCTCAAATTTTTTGTAAATTATTTTATCGATCACATTTAAATATATGTATATACTAGTATTGTTTATTTTTAATTTTTATTAAATTATTAGCTCGACATTTAATTGACACATTAATCAGCTGTTCAAGACATGACATGTTTGGAGCTATAAATCTTTTTTTCTCAGATTTTCGAAATAAGGAGGAAAAAGGGTGGGAAAATATTTTAATTATTCACGTATTTAAAATATTTTATATTATTTTTGTTTTCTCTTTTTTTACGTCTCGCTCTCTTCATCGATTTCGGGTATCAGCGATCGACGTAATCTCTCTTATTATCAACGATAAGACTCGCGCCGAATTTTTCGCGGAAAAGATTGCTCTTTCGCGAACAAAAAATTCAACGCGACGAGGGACAAAGGGTCAGACGTGGAACGCGGGGACAGGAGGGAGGAGATCGATGTCCGCTGTACTGTACGGTGCTGCCACCGCGCGGATTGTTTTTCGAGCAGGACCGTACTTTCAACGCGTCTAAGTGCCCCGAGGACAAAGCTCGCGAAACGCGCTCGACCTCATTAACTTCATCAACAATTATCGTAAGCACAAGGTACTGTCATAATTTCCCAAGATCTCAAGATAAATAAATCCATCAATGTCAACATATATTAATTCAAACCATTAATTAATTATTATATATCATTAATTCCTTACACACATTTTTCCTATTATTTCAATATTACAAACAAGAGAGAATAAAAATTTCCTCACGTCGTAAACAAACTACGTTTCGCAAAATATATCGATTACGTGACAACCGGAAGGAAGCATAACGTAAACAATTAATCGACTAATCAATCGCGCAGTGTCGTAAACTCTCTCTCTCGACAAACTTTATTTTCCACGCGCAGCGTCTCGGTACAAGACCGAGGGTGGGGGAGCGCCGTTGACACGGCCCTGCGGACCTGTCAGATTCGTCAGCCGATTGGTCGGCTCGCGGCGGGAGTGGGAGGCAGACAGGCAATATGGCCGCGGCGCGGCCCCCGTTAGTCGGACATCGGCGCGACGTAACGCCGACTTTCGCGTGCATCCGCGACGCGAGAAATCGCAACGCGAGCGTGCTTACCCGCGAGCGGCCAGGGATTCCCCGACCGATTCGATCTTCCGACCTCGCTTCGCCATCTTGGCGTCGTTCCTCTTGCTAGCCTCGCTCTTGTGCCGGGCGAATTCGCGACGCGTCTGCGAAAGAAAGAGAGAGAACAAAAATCAAGTATGTGACACAATCTCTCCCCGTTTACGCGTCGGCCTGTCGCGAGTGACAGATATGTGACAGCTGTGTACTTGAAGTATTTAAAGTGCCGTGTATCGATTTACTGACCGTGCTCGCGGCTAGGATAGCCGAGGTACTTCTAAAAGCGTTGGCGAACGAGCCATGCCTGATGAGCGCCGCCATCTTTTTCACGCTCGTCGCCGTCGCGGTGTCAGTGTCAGCGGTGGTAGTAGTAGTGGCAGCGGCAGCGGTGGGAGAGGAGGTAACAGCGGCAGCAGCAGCGACGGTAGCCGTCGACGGCAACTAGAACTGCGGCAGTGAGCGTTAGGGGGCGCACCCGGCGGCTGCGCTTGTTGTTTCCCATCCGCCGCCCGCCGCCATTTTACGGTCGCCATTGAGAAGTGAAAATCCTTCCTAAATGCACGGGTCCGAGTGAATAAGCAGGCGCGGTGTCGCCCGGTGCCGTTCCGCCGATTTCTCGTGCGACCCGGAGTGAAGTATCGGCGCCGAGGCTTGCCGAGGCTCCGAGGAGTGTTGGACTAACGCGTGTACGGCGTACAATGGAGAAGCCATGACGCATCCATCGCATCAAACCAACGGCGCCAGCCTGGAGGACTGCCACACGAATTTCTTCGCACTGGTGAGTGATAGCGTAGCGCCTGGCGCGATTTCGCGTGGAATAAAGACACTTCGGGTCTTCCCTCGAACGTCATTGTCCATTTGCGAGTCCGGATCCCGATCGACCCGAGGACCTCGCGAGAACGCTGGAGAACGGAGCGAGAGAAAGAGAGAGAGGGAGAGAGACGGCGAGTCCTTAGGTGGCCGCCGGCATCTCTCGTACGTCACACGTCGCCGACGAGCGACAGCGACCACCTTCGGAACGTTAACCTAAATTTCGCGAGGATATATATATATATATATATTCGCCGCGGCCCCGAGATTACGTCTTTCTCTCTCTCTCTCTCTCTCTCATCATTGTCGACGTTGTCGCTCGTGCTTCATGTTGTGTGTATCGCCAGATACCCTTCCCCTTCCTCAAGCTTTCTGCGCGCTGCGGCCTCATACGTGCGTGCGTACATACGTCAGTGAGATTTGAAGTTTTGTTGTGTCGAGCCAATGTCATGCCTGATTCACGTCACACCCCGAAGTCTTACGGTACGCCGTACGAGAACCCGGAGAGAAAAAGAGAGTCGACGGGCGAGAGAGCGAGCGAGTGGGAGTCGCGAAGAGGAGAAGGAGAACGAGAAGAAGTGACCGCGAGAGGAGAGAGAGAGAACACAGACGGTCTCCCTCTCTCTCTCGTTCTCGTAATATCGAGTTCGTGTCTCCGTGCGAAGGATACGTAGATTCTCGGTAGACAACTGCAGGGACTTTTCGAGGGAGCGAAAATTCCGAGAACGAGAGAGGAAATTCGTCGAAGAGAGAGAGAGGACGAACATTCCTTTCGCGACTCGGCGTCGCGGTCGAATGGAACAAACAAACTGCGTCGGGCGAGATCTCGTTCGCGTGAAACTCGGCGAAAAAGCGCGGAATATTATTTCCTCGAAGACGCGACGAAAGCTACCTGTCTATCCGAGGAGGCTCTCTCTGTTCCACTCTCAGCGCGCGCTCGTGCGTGCCGACACATACGTAAACACGCGCACACATGTATGTAGGTGTATCTACAGGTACTTACTCCCGACACAGGCTAACGGCGAGGCGGACGCACTTTTCTGCCGCTCGTTGCATCTCTCGTTCCCACAGAGTACGGTTAAACGTCACTGCGAACGGATGACGCGCCTTCCTTCTTTCCTTCGAAGCGGTGTTATTGTTACATTGTGATGCATGAGAGAGAAAATCGAGGAACACCTAGTTAACGTATACTAGTAATGAAGGCCGAGGAATTTTTTTCGAAATATAACGAAGCGTGTATATGTATATGTGCGGCAGAGGGAATTTTCTCCTAGAATTTATCCGGGAAATCATGGTAATCGTGGAATAATATGGTAAGAGTTTCTCCGATTAATGTTCACCACGAATAAAAGTGTCTACGACAATCAGATGCTTGATTAATTTTATACATATTTTTCATCGGTAAATGTTAATCACAGAAACTCTTGGAAAATTCTTCCATAATTGTCCCACGATTAACATGATTCGTATTAAATTTTGAGAGAAAATTCGCTCCGTGTATACATACGTGAATCAAAGCGTCGATGTAAACAATAGATTTAAAGGCACCTCCTCAATTGATGCAAAGAACATGAATAAATGTTTACTTTACAAAATGGTGTACAAAAATATTTAGATAAATTCGACACTGGTTAATATTTTTATATAAAATTATGTAAATACGGATTGTTAAAAATCAGGTTAATATTATAAAAGAGATGCGAGAATTGAAAGGTCAGGGAACTAATAGGAGAATGAAAAATAGAAGGGAAAAAGGAGCAAATTTTAAATAACAATATCTATAAAGAATATTAATAATAAATCCTCGATAAAGCAACGCGATTCTCGATTATAAGATCAGCATAATTTTATTAGGTATAGTTTTATCTCTGACACGACAAATCGCGAGAAATAGATTGGTAAATCAGATATGGAATAAAGAATCGGGAATTGCATTGAAATTAATTTTTGACATTTCATATATACGCGTGATTTGGTCTCAAAGTATTCTTCCAAAAAAAAAAGAATGCAATAATGCACATTGATAAAACGTCACTGAGATTGCACTGCGCGAAGACGCGTGCCCGTCCAATTTTTCTCGCACAGAGTTGCAGCTCCGATAAAACGCGTCATTTATCGCCAGTTAAGAGCATTTATCGAGCGAGAGACCGCTGCGTTGAAGAAATCAGTTCAATTCTTTTTGCGCATCATCGGCGAATCGTGCGAACAACATGTCCTCTTATTTATACCGACAGCTGACGTTTATTTTATTATACTATATACGATCCGAAATTAACGTGACATGCATATTTCTCTGTCTTCTCCCTCCCATCTCGTCTGTCTTTCTTTCCAGATAAACACATTTTTCTCTCCGAAAGAAATAATACATACGTTTATTCTCGTTCGTATCCCGTATTCGGCGTCTGTGACAATAAATTTTTACAAAGAACCGCCAATAATTTAATGCAGAAAAACGCCTGGCTGGAAATTATTTGAAACGCCGGCGTACGTTCCATCGGATTCCGACAAAGCAATGAGCTTTTTTCGGAGCTTTATGAAAACCACGCCGCGAGCTAATTCGGCACTCTCTCGCCACAAAGCAGCAAATATAGTTCATGTAGTTTCATTCGATTAAACGCGATAATATAAGTCCGCGCGTACAATCTATCAAAGCCGTTTGCGTTTGATCGCAATGGCTAATGACATCTCTGTTATTTTCTTTATAACAGCGCGAATATACATATATACCAGAAGTTAATACGATTTAATTAGATGCCAGTCGCAAGTAATGACCCGAATAATTAATTACGCTTATAAAGGGAAAAGCGTTTGAGCTTTTCGTTAAAAACGAATAAATTGTGAATTTATCGCGTATGTATTTTATATACATCTGTTGTTGTTCGACTCTTAACGTTAAATATTATCTGCAATCGTATCTTTGAACGTCGCGCTTTTTACTGATAATCAATTCGCGCCAGTAGTTTTTTCGTGCAAATTAATTCGCGCGACCGATTATTCTACTGCTCCATTACTTATTAATATTTTTACCTAAATATCAGAAATTTATTGGCGTAAAGTCGCACTTATGAGGAATCGAACCTAACTTGTCGATATAATTTATTTAGGACCTATTAGCGCTTGATGAAAATTAACGTTGCATCAATTGTCACAATTAATTTTATTTATATAATATAAATATTTCTTCAAATTTTTTCAAGTAGGTAAAATATTTTTTTACTCCCAACAATCTCCAAGAAACGTAAAATAATGCAACCACATAGAGAGTACGATAAAAGATTTGTATTCTTATTGACTATTCACTCAAAAATTCAGGTTTTTAATTTTATTAGCTCTCTTTCTTTCAATTAATTAAAATGCCTTATTTCGTAGAATATATGATATACAAGTAATTTGAATGCGAAATATTTATTATCTCCTTTCTCGGACGAAGCTCGCGTATATTAGAAACGTCAGAATTGTCCCAGGTTCAGGTCGAGTCCTACAACACGTGGAACACGTAACGATCCTATTGGTCTTAATTAAGACGTGTAACGCCGTTGATGTACACACAACTTACAAGAGTTACAAGCCCGGCATCGAAGCCCGGGGGAGAATTAAATTATGAAAAAATTGCTCGTTTTTGCGCTTACGGTCCTGTGCATATTTGCGAGTAAAACTCGAGCGGCATCGCACGTAAGAATAATAATTCTCTCTCATATACACAGTGGTACTCAATTACGAGACAGCGAGGCTCATTGACGACGAGAAACATCATCGGGTCAATATCGCACGCTTAATCGAATTAATCCGGCGACGGGATGATATAACATATATATACGTCGGATGATGATACGGGAGGGGTTGATTGGTTGTACTTTATCGAAAATTTTTACTGGACTCCCACACTTTTCTTTTAGAATTTACCCCGAAAATCCATGGGACAATTGGAACAATTTTATGAGTTTCTCTCTCTGATTAATATTTACCACAATAAGAAATATTAATATGTAAATAATAAAATTAATGGTACATATTTTATATCTTTATTGTGGTAGATATTAATATTTTTATTGTGGTAAATATTAATTATTAAGAGAAACTTATAAAATTCTTTCGATATACTATAATGTTTCATGATTATTATGATTTTCAGGATAAATTCCAAGAGAAAATTCTCTCTGTGCACGATTCATGAAAGTTGAAGGATCGATAATTTTATGGGGTTCGATTTGGATGCGTTTCGTCGGAATGAAAATCTTATAAAAACGCATTGCGTAGTTATTTAGCGGAACGCTTCGTTGGTCGATTAACCAAAGTGAAATTTCTCGTCGTTGAAGATCCTTTTGGCCCAATCGACATCCTTGACATAGCTGCGGTCGCTTTTTGCAATAACACAAGATAGCGTCGGCACGAAAGGTGTAATTTAATGGTTGCATATATGGGGAGTCGGTTCATACGTTCTCCTCCTCTTCTTCGTCTTCTTCAAGCAACTCCCGGCAGCAATTGTGCTGCGATTACATTCCATGCTATAGTGCAAATCAACCGGGTCGATCGATTCTTCTTTATTCAGCAGATAATTCTGAAAATTTCGGACATACATTCCACGCGCGAGTCGTCAGAAGCGATTATTTAAATGCATCAACACGCTAATCTAT